ACAAAGAGTTCTAGAAGGCAGATGCCAAAAGGAGAAGGAAGGAGGAAGAAGGTCGCAAGTGTTTGGGAATATCTTTTTCCCAGGCTCTCGCCATTCCCCAGGGCCCCCCATGATTCTCAGCGCTCTCATGCAGAGAGCATGATGACTAGCAGATCGACACCATGGTGGGGCTGGTGCTTAAGGCAAGGAGGACGAGGTGCTCCAGTGCTGAACAGACTTGGTAGGTAAGACTGCCTCCTTGGAGACATTCTCTCTCCCCCATGACACCAAGCTCCAGCTAAACCAGCTTTCCCCTCTCCAGTGTCTGAGAAGGAAAGCCCTTCTACTCCTTGAGTTGGAAGAGTAGTGCTGGCTGCTGTTTTTCCAAGGGGCTGTACCAACCACTCCTTCCTGTTCTCTTTTCATACTGCATTTCCTATCCTCTCTTTTGCATCAATCTATCCATCCCATAGCTAGATTAAAAAAAAACAAACGAACTTAGCCCACTGACCTTGGTTTGAGTGGTGATATTTGGAAGATAGAAGAGGGAGCTAATACAGTCCAGAATAATGTAGCTGATTCATGATCAAGCCAAAAGTATCTGGTAATACAAGTACAAAGAATGCAACAATCACTACTTGCAGTGAGTTTACATTTAAAGGAGACAACAACATATAAAACATACACAGAAGAAATACAAAGTGAATAAATACAAATGTATACAAAGTATAAACTGCCTCACGGCACTTTAGGAAGGCGGGCACTAGCAGCTGGAGGTTATCAGGAAAGGCTTTGGGAAGAAGATGGAACTTGAGCTGGCCCTTAAAGGAAGTGAGAAACTGAGGCAGAGCTACGAAGGAACTCCCTTTAAGCATGTGGCCCAGGCAGTGCATGGAAATGGGAAATGTAGGGTTATGGGTGAGGAACGCAGAGATGGCCAGTTTGGCTGCAGAGCTGAGTGCAGGAAGGAAAGTGAAACCCAACGAGACAAGAAAGACAGGTTGAATTGCATTTGAAAAGCAAAACAGCAGCGTTTATATTTTGTCCTCAAAGCCACAAGGAGGGGCTAGCTGCTAACAAGGGGTGGGCCTCTGGCATCCCCTCATTTTCCCAGTCTCCACCACAGTTCTTCCAAACCTTTTTGTCCAACCTTACACCTCCCATGGCTTTCCCATCTCTGCACTCAGCTGAGAGCCCTGCCTCGTATTTTACACCAAAAAAATTGAGGCCAGAGACAGACAGGTGGTACGGTGGATGGAGCAGTAGGCCTGGAGTTAGAAGGATCTGAGTTCAAATCCGGCCTCAGACACTTACTGTGTGATCCTGGGCAAGTCAATTAACTCCAATTGCCTCCAAAAATAAATTGAGGCCTCTCACCATGAGCTCCCACTTTTCTCTTCTTCTTTGTTTATCCCTTAAGCACCTTCTGGTGCTCTCTCCTCCTTCACCCATCTCACATGATGAAGTGGTCTTATTCCTTACCAAGGCTAATCCCTCTACTTGGTCAAGTGATTTTATTCCATCCCATCTCCTCCGACACATTGCCCCCTCCGTCATCCCCACTTTTTCACTTATTTTCAATCTCACCATCTTCATTGGCTCATTTCCTACTGCCTACAAACACGTCCGCGTTCCCCTCATCCTGAAAAAATAATTATTTGATCCTTCCATTCCTGGTAATCACTGTCCTATATCTCTTCTGCCCTTTGTAGCTTAAACTTCTTGAAAAGACTATCTAACACACACTTTCTTTCCTCACACTCTCTTCCTAACCCCTTACAATCTAACTTCCAGCCTTATCATTCCACTGAAATTGTTCTCTCCAAAGTTTTCGGTGATCTCTTAGTTGCCAAATCCAATGGCCCTTTCTCAGTCCTCACTGTCCTTGACCTCTGCAGGCTCCTCCTTGATACTGTCTTCTCTCAAGGTTTTCAGGAAACCACTCCCTCCTGCTTCTCCTACCCATCTGCCACTTCTTCCCAAACTCCTTTGCTAGATCCTCACCCAGATCACATCCTCCAACTGTAGCTGTCCCTCAGGGTTCTATCCGGGGCCCTTTTCTCTTCTCTCTCTTTACTTAGTAAATATTCTCTCTCACAAGAGACATGGAAGATAAGTGAGAGAATGGGGATGAGATCTGTTGGGAAAGACAGGGCAGAATGGGGATCATTTGTGCATATATAGTATTTGGCTTTGGCAAGAATAACGTCTTCATGTGAGACAGGGGTAAAGGAAGAAAAAGTGGGGGCAGGCGTCTGGGTGACATGAAATGAGGAAAGCAGAGGGAGTTCTTGGTGAATGGCTTCCATTTTTTCAGTGCAATATGAGTCTAAGTTCTCAGCTGAGATGGGATGGAGCACTGAGGGAAGAGAAAGCAATAATTGTGAGGGATTAGAAAGGGCTTCACAGAAGCCAGAAAGGTGTGATAAAGAGGGATTGCAGGATCTCAGATCTAGAAGTGGAGGAGACCTTGGTGTTCAGCCCGTCCAGCCCCCTCAGTGCGAGTGTTCTAGGTCAGACATAGGTTATTTTGGAAGGTTACTCTGAGAGCTAGGCGGAAGGCCAGCAATAAGACAGAGAGAACAATTAAAGAATTCTGGTTTTACTTTTAAAGTCAGGGTTGATCATGTACTTCAAGCCCTGAGACCATAGGTGTTCCCACAGTAATGCTGGCATAAGACCAGACTTTTGATTACATCAGTCAGTGATCAAGAAGAAGTCAAAATAGGTTGACATTTCACAATTTCTTGTTTTTCAAGAGCCCAGGCTCAGTGAACACTTTTATGATAACAATAATGATAAAAACAACAACTAGCATTTCTATAATGCTTTGAAGTTTACAAAACTGTTCTGAACTGCATCTGGAGTCAGGTGGCAGGGATAGTGGCTGCTTTATCCCCTTCCTGGCCCTAGACAGCCATGAGTACATGTTCCACCTAAACAAACCTGCGCCTGGGAAGGCATGACCTCCTTTTTTTTTTTTTTTTGGATGTCTCCTCCAACTGAGTGACTGAACAGCAACCTCAAGGTATATAAGTCTGGGTGACCTTGTGAGTTTCAGAAAGTCACGAGGGCCTGGGAGGCCAGCCAGATAAACATGTCTACCGGGCTTACTGGGGCAGTTGACTATAGTTTTGTTTGTCCAAGAAGCAGCCTGGTGGAATGACAGACAGGAGAGAGATCACTAGAAAAAAGATCAGGTCAGCCTAGCTGCTAGCCCACCCACCAATGCATGTTGCCTTGGTGTATTAATAAACTCCTTTTAAACTTTCTCTTCTTGAGTTTTTCCTTTTTAATCAGGGCAAAGGCCCAAACATAGGATTTTCCTTTTAACTATCTGGCAAGCGAAGCCAGGAAACTTTTTTGGGAGCCCTTCACCCATTAACTATTACTGAGAATAAACCTGCCCCAACCCTACAACCGAGCACTTAGGGCTTTGCCTGATCATGAATCGGAATGAACCCCTATGGCAGTTAGGTAACCCTAAAGGGGTCGGAGAACTTAACTTCCCCAAACCCAGGAAGAATAAAGATAAATAAGTCCCAAACCCAAACTGATTCTTGCTCATTTGTGCATGAAAAAAGGATGGTACATGTGGAAAAAGGCAGTTGGTAAGTACGAGTCTTTACCCTATATTAAGTCACCTGTGAATAGAAAGGATAAGGGAGTGCTAATACCAAAACAGAGTTGGCACAGAGTAAACCTCCTGCTGATTCTCCATTAGGCAAGTTGTTAAAAGGGTGGGAAAAGGAAAAATACCATCACTTTGACAGGGAATATCCAGCACGGACAGAACACGGTAACCAACGTTTATAATTGTGGGAAACAAATTGGGCCAGATAAATATGTGACTGTTGATTATTATCAACTATGCATGTTAAAATCAAACTCAAAAAACCTAGAGCCTAGGAGAAAGAGAAACAGAGAGAGACAGACACAGAGACAGAGGGACAGAGACAGAGAAACAGAGACAGACAGAGAGGGACAGATCAGGCTTGGCTGTTTGATCAGGCAGGGCCAAGTACCTAGCTGTGTTATACAACAATTGTATGTTCTGATAAAGTTTAAAATCTTAGCCTTCCAATGGACTGTAATATAGCAATAAGTTCCAACAGTGAATCCAGTTTAAATGGCTCTTCGAATACACACTGTGGTTCTCTTACACTTATTATTACTTTCTCTGTGGAAATAAATGACCTGCCCTATGCCCTGTCCAAGTCATGGGTACCTCTTTTAATTTCTCCTTTTGGGAGAAACCTGAGACTAGACTCAAAGTTAGCAACTCTTACTGGAGTAAATGGGGTGGGGGTCATGAGCCAAAGAATGTGAGACTGGCAATCTTACTCCCCCTGCTGAGAAGTCAGGCACCCCCAGAGTTGAACCCAAACAATATATAATCGTTCAGTAAAAACCCAAGGGTTGGTGTGCACCAGTCACCAGCTTTGGGGCCTTATGTAAGTGGTTGTCTCTGAACTCTACAATAACATTTTATTAAAATTATACCCGGGGCAGCTAGATTGCACAGTGGATAAAGCTTCAGCCTTGGAGTCAGGAGGACCTGAGTTCAAATCTAGCCTCAGACATTTGACACTTACCAGCTGTGTGACCTTGGGCAAGTCACTTAACCCCAACTGCCTCACCAAAAAAAAAAAAATCATACCCAGAAATCTTCCCCAATTAATCTTTTTTTTTCTTCCAGGATCTAGGCTGTTTAAACTTTTTGATCTCTTTATCTTCCAGTTCCAACTGTAATTAATTTCTTTCTTTTCTTGCTTTGTCTCCTATCATGGGCTCAGCCAGACTCAGGTCATTCCCCTGGTAGGCTGGGTCCCAAACTGGAATGAAATGGAACCCGTGTTCATGTAACAGTTAACAGAGGTTTGCTTAGATGGAACAGGGGGAGCACATTTAAAGCAGAGAAGGAATATTCATTCAGGATGGAACACTGACTCAGCTAAGCACAGTTCTCCAGGGTCATCCTGGAGTCTGAGGTCAGAGGCTTGCAGGAGGAGCTCCAGTACCTTGTGCCCTATCGGTTTTGGATCCAGGTGCCCGGGAAGCTGTGGCAATGGCTTCAGCGTCAATCCTCTTCATATTTTCTTTCATTTAGTATTTCACTTTTCCCCAGTTACATGTAAAAAACAATTTTTAACATTCGTTTACAAAACTTTGAGTTCCAAATTCCCTCCCTTTCTCCCTCCTTACCCCTCCCCCACTGAGAAGGCAAGCAATTCCATATGTTACACATGTACAGTCATGCAAAACTTACTTTTATATTAAAAATGTTGTGAAAGAAAACAGAGTCAAAAAAAAAACCTCAAGAAAAATAAAGAAAGTAAAAAAAGAATGCTTCAATCTGTATTCAGACTCCATCAGTTCTTTCTCTGGAGATGGATAGCATTTGTCATCATAGGCCCTTTAGAATTGTCCTGGATCACTGCATTTCTGAGAAGAGCTAAGTCATTCACAGCTGATTATCTTACAATATTGCTGTTACTTTGTACACAGTACATTTCACTTTAAATCAGCTCTTGTTAAGTCTTTCCAGGTTTTTCTGAGAGCATCCTGCTCATCATTTCTTATAGCATAATAATATTCCATCACAATCATATACCACAACTTGCTCAGCCATTCCCCAATGGATGAGCATCCCTTTAATTTCCAATTCTTTGACACCAGAAAAAAAAGCTGCTATAAATATTTTTGTACGTATAGGTCCTTTTCCTTTTTTTTTTTTTTTATGTCTTTTAGGCTACAGACCTAGTAGTGGTATTGCCAGAACAAAGGGTATGGATGGTTTTATAGCCCTGTGGGCATAGTGTCAAATCACTCTACTGAGTGGTTGGATCAGTTCACAATTGAGTGTTAATTCTCAAGCCAATTAAAAATCCCAAAGACAATTTAAATACTTGGGAGAAAGGAGGATATTGTCACACCACACTTCCTCACAACTTTTCATAAAAGTGCAATTAAAAGCCAATTACATTTCACCTCTGACACTTGTAAGGAAAATATTTGTGTTTTTAAATATATCCATTTGTAATACCCACTCCCACCCAAACGGCATGAGGAAAGAATTGTAGCTAGGAGGCACAGTGTATAAAACATTAGCCCTGGAATCAGGAAGACCTGAATTCAAATGTGACTTCAGATGCTTACTAGCTGTTGTGACATAGGGCAAATCATTTGACCTCTGTTTGCTTCAGTTTTCTCATCTGTAAAAGTAGGAAAATAGCACCTACTTCTCAGAGTTGTCATAAGGGCAAATGAGATAATATTCCTCAAGCACTTAGCACACGATAGGTGCTTAATAGGTGATTATTTCCTTCCTTCCAATCTGCATTATGTGGAAAAGAATGTGCCTCCTGACTGATCTCAGAAAGCTGAGCTCAACACACTGACCTGCATAAGACACTTACTTTAACTAGTTAGTGGCGGACACTCTTCAGAAACACACATGGACACAGGACGTCCTGGGGAGTGGCAGAGAGGGAAAGGTCGCCTAAGTTGGTTTGGAGCTCTCTGCACCACACACACATATGAAAACAGCCTCATCGTGTTCTAAGTTCTCAAGACTTGCAATCATAGAGACTGCAGAGAAAGATCTTGCCCAGGCAAGATTGTCCTCTCTTGATTTGGAGGGAGCTCTGTCCATCTCTCGGTTGAGGAAGTGATTTACTCCTCTACATTCTTTGGCATATTTTGATCTGGAGAACTTCTCTATTTTCTCTTTGCAATTTTCCTATGATAACTAGGCTTACTCATTACATGTTCATTATTTGTGATTCATTTGTCAATTAACACTTGATAGGGAGGGGCTGAGCTGGTGATTGTAAGTTAAGGCCTACCCTCTTCCATAAGAGTCATTGGGAAGAGACTTTTGTTCTGAACCTACTGTACCCTTAGACCAGAAATATTTGAGGGGTGGCATATTGATACAATTCTAGCCCAGTCACCTCCTTGGAGACAGAAGGAGAGATACTCCAGCCTTGTTGGTCCTGGAACTTACCTGCTCTTCCTTCCTGCTAGTGTACTGGAAGTGAAGGTATCCTCTGCAAAGGTGGGTCAGAACTCACACCATGTCTATACATGCTATCAATAAGGTGTATGCATATATTTAGACAACAGATACACACAAACACACCTGACATAGTCAGTTAAAAGCTTTAGTTTCCTCTTCTAAAGGATGAAGTCCCTTCCAGTTCTAACATTCAATTTGCTCTCTGCTACATAAGAACTGTCTATCATCAACATTATGTCACACAAATGAATCTGTTCATCAGCTCAAGATCACTTCCCTATTGTTTCCTTGCTCCAGAATCTCATCATCCACACTTCAGACACGTGTAAAGCTCAGCTCTTCCAACTAGAAACTGCTCTTCCACCTTAAGGTACCAAGCCAGAGGGACTCCCAACCACAGCTTTCTGTGCAATGCCTCACAACAGCTAGCAAAGGAGTCATTTGCAAAGGGAGTTATTCATTTACTGTAAAAAGTTGCAAGAGGCATTCTTCAATTCAAGGTGCAAAACTGTTTAGATAGAACATACCACTAGGTGGCATCCTCCATACACATTCAGCAAGTCTAGCTATTAATTAAACACAGTAAACATTTATTAAGTACCTACTAAGGGTAAAGTTCTGGATTAGGTACTGTGAGTATGTGTGCGTACGTATATGTATACACACATATACATACATACATATATATGTATACATACACACACATATATAAATGTATACATAAACGTGGAAATTTCATATGTACATACATATAAATATACAGATATGTGGCTATAGATTGTATAGAGAGGTGGCTATAGATGATATAGATAAACATACACACCCACACCAGACTTTTCTGCCTGTTGTCCATTTCACACATTGTGGTCAGAATAACTTTTCCAATAGATACCCTTGCCTACTAATGCCTAAACATTGCCCAAGAGCTCTCAAAATCTCCCTGTTTCCCACAAAGTACACACCAAGTAAGCAACAAGCACGGATTAAGCACCAACCATGCAGGGCACTGTGCTGGGAATCCGGATATAAAGACTGAAACAATTCCTATTCTCAAGGAACTTTCATTCAATATTTTGATGCAGCATGAAAAACCTTCCACAAGCTGACTCCAACCCACAGTCTCACAAAGACTTGGTGCATCACAGCTTGCTGCCAAATCACCTTTATTCATGTCAAGCACTCTAAAAACGATGCTTTTAACAGCCCATGGGGAAAAAGTGTGATGTAAAAAGACATAAAATTAAAATGCATATTTCTTTACCTTTATATGATGTTATCTTCATATTTTGAAAACCATTTCACTGGCTAGTTGGAAGTCAACTATATCCTTACAAAACTTTAATACTCAAAGGAGGAAAAAACTGGCACCAGGTCATTCTCCCCTTGCCAAGTTGAGGGAATGTTATTGAGGACGCCTTACATAAATGTTGCTTGACCTCTGAGTGAACCAACAGGTCTTAAAAGTTGCATTAGCCAAGGCAAACTCCCATAGCAAATAAAGTTTTTAGCTGAATGCATCAGCTTTTTCCCTTCTTCAGCCTGAAGAGAAATTGCCACCTTTGGGAACAGTAAGGTAACATTTCCAGGTTGTTTCCATTAGACCTTTCAAAGTTTCTGGTGCACACAGAACATTGGGTCAGTAGTGAAACACAGGAGTGGGTAGGGAGGCAAAGGACTGAAATGCTTATTATAGGATGCTGCTAACCTAAAAGTGCTATGATATGATGGAAAGATCACTGGACCTGAGTTCAAATCCTTACTCTGTCACTTGCTGGGTAAGCATAGAGAAGATGCTGGATTTCCCTGAGCCTCATTTTCTTTGTCTATAAAATAGATGAAAAGCAATTTGGAATCATACTGTAAAAGTTACTAATCTGTGTGTACTATTTGACCCAACAATACTACTTATGCCCTAAGAAATTAAAAGAAAGAAGGAAAGGACCCATATGCACAAAAAACTTCATAGCAGCCCCTTTTGCCTTAGCAAGGAGCTGGAAGCTCAAAGGTTGCACCTGATAACCTCCAAGATGATTCCCAGCTCTTCCATGATTATAAGATACTCCATTCAGGAATTAAGACTTGACAAAATGCCATACTTCTTTCATGCTATATCCAGAAAACATCTCTCCAGGGTGGCTGAAATACCTTCAAAATGCACTAAAATCTGTTACAAAATCTATAAGCATAATATATCATATTAGTAATAATATATCATTGCCAAAAAAGCAGCAAAAAAAAAATCACATGGTTACATTGATAATTTTTAAAGCTTTTGACAAAATATAACACCACTTTACGGTTAAAAAAAACACACTGAAAAGAACAGATATAAGTGGACAATTCCTCAAAATGGTAAACCATTGTAAGGAAGAGGGCCCTCCCCACATCAGCTGATGTGTTCAGAAACAGTTATAGACGATGAGGATTTAATGTGTGAACAAGATCCGGTTACACCCTGAATGCTTTCTGATTCCCAGCTACATAAGATGAAGGTTGCTTCAAGGCAACCTTTACTTACAAGTTTAAAAAACTGAGACTACCAGGAACCCAACTCCTAAAGGGAGAACAGCAGAAACATGGGGCTAGAGAGAAAGGAAAACTGTGAAAATCAACATGGAGCTGAGGATGGAGGTTCCTGCAGAGGTGAATGCCACAAAGAAAGGGTCCAGGAGTTGTACTGCTGAAACCCTACCCCACCCCGTCTCTTTCAGCCCCTACTACAGATCCTAACATGGTAATCCCATATCTCTTAGGGGTCTGCTGGTACATATCTTGTGGTTGTTCATTCATCTTTCAGTTGTATCCGACTCTTCGTGATCCTATCTGGGATTTTCTTGGCAAAGATACTGGAGTGGTTTGCCATTTCTTTCTCCAGCTCATTTTATGGATGAGGAAACTGAGGCAAACAGGGTTAAGTGACTTGCCCAGGGTCACACTGCTAGTAAGTGTCTGAGGCCAGTTTTGAGCTCAAGAAGATGAGTTTTCATAACTACTGATGAGGCACTCTATCCACTACACCACCTAGCTGCCAGCTGGTAAATACGGCTCTGGGGGGAGAAATGTATGTGAGACACACTTTTAAGTTCAATCTACTTTACTAAAATTTTCTTCATCACTTTCTGAAGTCTAGATGATCAGCAAAACAATAAAACAAGCCCTGATTTATAGCATTTGATGATTTCCAAGGTGTCAGTGCTCACAATGGAAATTTATTAATCTGGTTCTCACCAGCTCCCATACATTGCTACCTTTCCTTACTTTGAATTCCTTCTTGGGAGACTGACACCACTTCCTCTTTGTGGGGAAGAGAGATTGTTTACCTTTTTAAAAAAAATTTTAAATGATTTATTGACCTTTATAAACAGTGGTAACCACACCAGAGATAATACATATCATATATGTATTATATATAAAAAATATATAAAATATCACCTACATATATAGAGAATATATGAATGTACCCATAGTACACTCTATGGCAGCTCAGTGGTGCGGTAGATAAAGTGCTGGGCCTGAAGTCAGGAAGACTCATACTAGAAAAATTGTAAAGTAGTTTAGAAGAATTGGGTTTGGACTACAACCATGTATCCCGATGGCTATATAAGCTTAGATATAAAAGGTCATATTTTTTAATAGAGGAGAAGGAAAGGAAATACCTTTCACAACTATGGATGGAAGGAGAGTTCTTGACCAAACGACAGAAATGATTATAAAAGATAAAATAGATAATTAAAACTACATAAAATTAAAACTTTTTTGCACAAAATTCATTAGAATTAGAAGAAAAACAATTAACAGGGGGAAATAATATAATAAATTTCTCTGGTAAAAGTCTAATATCCAAGATATACAGGTAAATGAAACAAGTATATGAGTAATGACCATCATTCAATAGCTAGTGCTGAAGTGATATGAATAGGCAGTTCTCAGAAGAAGAAAAGTAAGCTGTCAACACTTTTCACATAAAAGAAGAGGAAATAATTGAAGAGATATTAATTGTTGGGCTGTAACAATATAGTGAAAATGACAATACTACCTAAATTAATTTGAAAATTGAATTCCATGTCTATCAAACTACCAAAGGATTTCTCTATCGAACTAGACAAATGCAGAACAAAATTTATCTGGAAGAACTAAAGGTCAAGTATCTCAAAGGACGTTGTAAAAACAAACAAACACAAAAGGGGGGCTTAGCAGTACCAGATCTCAAATTACATTATTATCATCAAAACTATGTGGTAACAGTTAAAAAATTTAAAAAATTTAAAAAAAAGCACCAGCCAGGGCCTGACTGCAGCCACTTCCCAGTATGGGGCGGGGGGGAGGGATGTAACATTCCTTAGATCATTCAACAGTTAACAAAAATCAGTCTGCTTACATGTGACATAGAAAGGATACTCAACAACACCTGGTCCAGGTATACCGGGTGAGTGGTTCATCTTCATTTGGATTAGTCAGTGGGACAGGATGTGGTGACTGGGTGACTCATAGTAAACCCAATCTGAAACACTCTAAATCCATGGGGCAGGTCTTTTATACCCTTAAGAGACCAGGAAGCTACATCAACCTAATCTGAGGCCACTAGGAAACTATATCATCCCTGAAGGGCTGTTTGGGCCTTAGTCTCCTGGCTCAATCAAATCTTAGGACAGATTTCTTACCTTTTAAGGAAAAAACTGCACCTAACCTATATGTGACAGTAGGTGCAGAACCTGATATGTGTAGTCACAGATATAGATATAGATAGTACCTATCACACAGGTTAAAAAAGATTTAGAAGCATTAGAACATGGTAGCATATTGTTAAAAGACAATCAGCTATTGAATGGCTATGTCCTCCACACACAAGCAAAATGCTAATACAAAAGTCTCTACTCCAGTCTCTGGTGAAGAAACGGGTTTTGCCTAAGCGAAGACCTAACAACCCCTTTTATCTTCTTGATCTCATCCCCTCTCATCTGGAGGGGGGCAGGGTTACCCTTGCCCATTCCTTCTCTTTCTATTTTATTCAGTCTTTTCTTATCCACTGTCTCCTTCACCACCTACAAACATGCTCCCTATTGCGTCTCACATAAAATAGAAAGTCTTGAACCTAGATTTCAACGTCCTCCATGATTTGGATACCATTTACATCGACAATCTTGCTATTCCCCTACATGAACTCTCCATTCCAATCAAACTGGCCTACCTGCCCTGGAATATACAATATTTCCTCTCTAACCTTTGTGCAAGTGTCCCCTCTATTCTTCAATAGTTCCCTCACCTGGACCTCCTAAAATTCTGGTCTTCTTTCATATCGTAGTTCAGGTGTCCCCTCTTCCATGAAACCTTTGTTGATACCCCCAGTTATCCACAGTCTCCTCCTTGGAATTACTTTGTCTTATAAAAGGAAAAGGGATGCTCCAGGAGAAAGAGGAAGGGAGATGAAGAATAGGGAAAATCATCTCACTTTTTATAAAAGAGACATGCAAGAAATATCTCTTACAATGGAAGGTAAAATGGGGGGGGCAATGTTTGAACTTCACTTTCATCAGAATTGGTTCAAAGAGGGAATAATGTACAAACTTAGTTGGGTATAGAAATCTGTCTTACACAACAGGGAAGTAGAAAGAGAAGATGATAAGAAAAGGGGGTGGGTGGAAAGGTAGAATAGAAGAGAAGGCAGATTAAGGAAGGCAGTGGTAAGAAACAAAACAGATTTTAGAGGAGGGAGGGAGAAGGAGGAGGGGAGAGAGAGAGAAAAACACAAAAAATAGGATGGAGGGAAATATACAGTTAGTAATCATAATTGTAAATATGAATGGGATATACTCATCTATAAACATAAGCAGACAGAAGAATGGATTAGAAACCAGAATCCAACAATATATTGTGTATAAGAAACAATTTGAAACAGCAAGACATACAGAGAAGAAAAATAATGAGCTAGAGAAGAAACTAATATGCTTTAACTAAGGCTAAAAAAAAGGCAGGGGTAGCAATCATGATCTTAGACAAAGCAAAAGTAAAAACAGACAATTTAAAAAGATAAGTAGAGAAACTGCATCTTGCTAAAAGGTACCACAGACAATGAAGTCATATCAATATTAAACATATAAGCACCAAATGGCATAGCATCCAAATTCTTAAAGAAAAAAATAAGTTAGTTATAGGAGAAAACAGACTAGTATAATATAGTAAAACTGTACTAGCTGGGGACCTCAACTTTCCCCTCTTAGAACAAGATAAATCTAACCATAAAATAAATAAGAAAGAAGTTAAGGACATGAATAGAATTCCAAAAAAGTTAGATATGATAGACCTCTGGAGAAAATTGAATAGGAATAGAAAAGAGTATACCTTTTTTTTCTCAGCTATACATGACAACTTCACTTAGGGGGAAAAAAAACCTTACAAACAAATGTAGAAAAGCAGAAGTATTAAATGCATCCTCTTCAGACTATAATGCAATAAAAATTACATTCAATAAAGGGCCATGAAAACATATTAAACATTAATTGGAACTAAATAATCTAATTCTAAAATAGGCTCAAAGAACAAAGCAGAGAAACAATCAATAATTTCATTAAAGAGAAGTGCAACAATGAAATAACATACCAAAATTTGTGGGATACAGTCAAAAGCGGTACTTAGGTGACATTTTATACCTCTAAATGCTTACATCAGTAAGATACAGAAAGAGCATATCGATAAATTGGGCACGCAATTAAAAAACTAGAAAAAGAACAAATTTAAAATCCCCAATTAAACACCAAATTGAAAATCCTGAAAATCAAAAAAGCCATTGTTATCAGAAATTAGGATAAGAATCTGTGAGACACTGAGGGAAGCATAGTTAACCAGGTTCAGCTGACATCACAACCAATTTCCATCATGTATCCTTTACCACTACTGTTCTTATACATTGGAATGGTCTTATTAAGGGTATACTTAGCATCATTATATGCTGTGTTTATTTGAGCTAGATCTTGAACCTAAGACCCCTCAGGGCAAATTTGGAGGTCCTCCTTCTTTCCAATGGCCATGGTTATTTTTCTTGAGAATTCCCATAACAAAAATTTGCTAATATGCATAGAACATATGGAAAGTTTCTAAGTGGGCCAGGGAAATCATTCTTAAAAATAGGAACTTTTAATATTTTCAACAAGAACACAAGGAAAACTCAGAATAATTTTACTTTGAGATCTGTATATTCCTCTTCTTATTGAAAAAATAACGGAAACATAATTAAGCCCATAAAATCAGAATCAAAAGTTACCTGCTCCCACTTTGCTCTTTACAATGAATGACAGATGACCAATCTGAGAGGTCAGGCAAGCTTCCTCCCTCATAGTGACAAGTACTTCCTTTCTCTCTTGGTCAAGTTGATTTTCACCACCGAGGACAAGACTGTGAAGGATGAAGAGAAGCAAAGATAGCCATGTCCAGCGGACATCACATTTGTTCTAAACTGTTCTAAAGCATCAAGACTTGTTTCTTTCCATGGCCAGTTCCTGAGTATGGTAGAGTCAATATGGCCTTTTCCTTGAATATCACAACTGTGTCTTCTCAAAGCCGGATGAGTTACTGAGGGGATGTAGATGGGTAAGAAACCTTCTGGCCCTGAAGAACTCAGTTACGCTTTAGGCCAAATGCCCCAGCATCGGGGTCACCAAACAATGGCCCGTCAGCCAAATTAGCGCCTAACATCAGGTTTTTTTAAACATCCTGTGAGCTGAGTTTTACATTTTTAAATAAAGTTTTATTGGAACACAGCCATACTCATTTGTTTATGGATCGTCTACAGCTGTCTTCCATCTACAACAGCAGAAATAAGCCATTGCAACAGAGACCTTATGCGTCACTCCCGTCACTTCCCACTGTTGCTCAAGCACCACAAACGTCAGGGATGAACTTGTAACTCAACAACGTTTCTAGTGCCGTGGTGCACCATACAGGACCAACAACAGTACAGTCCGAGTCTCAGCTGATATCCCCCGAGTCCAGCCCCCCCCCATGCCTGTGCCTTCCTCTGAGACTACCTCCAGTTTATCCTGCCTATATCTCCTTTGTAGTTGTCTAGGGCAGGGGCTGTTTTTGCCCTTCTCTGTACCCCCGAGCACTTAGCACTGAGCCTGCCACTTAGTAGGTGCTAAATAAAAAGTAGTTAACTTGGCCTAGGACAGAAAAGAAATGCCTCAAGCTCCTACAGGGAAGTGACTTTCCCTTTTGTCTTTATATCCCCAGGCACAGTTAGGACTTAATAACTGCTTATTGAATGACTGATCAAGGGCCAGACCAGATTTCCTATTCTTCTCTTTCAGCCAGACTAAGAAATCACAGCCACAAAAGAAATGCCACACGGTTGAGGACCTCCCTGGATAGAAGCGGCTTAACCCTGGTCACACTCTATGGTCGCCATTCAAAGGTTTGTCCTCTGAAATCTCTGCCACGGCTCTTCCCTTGGGCACTGTTCTTATGCCCGATTCTACACTGGGCTCTCAGATGAGCAGCACAGTTCAAGGAAGAGAGCGCCAGTTACGGCTGGAATAGGAGATAGGAGCTGACGTCAGGACCGACATGGGATGGGGTGCACAGCTTCGTGTTCCTGAGCCTCAGCTTCTTCACGTGTAGAGTGGTGATGATGATATTTCTCATTGGGTTGTTGAAGGAAAGCATTATCTAATCTGTAAAGGCCTACATGTGTGTAAATACATGTGTATAGATTGTTTCCTCTGATAAAATGTAAGCTCTTTGGGGGCAAGGATTGTTTCCTTCACTGTCTTCCTACCTCTGGTGCCTAGCACAATGTAGAGAACATAGATAGTATATATTATCAGAGGCATGCTGATAAATGTTTAACAATTGGCTCTCCAAAAAAAAATTATGCCACACTTTTAGTTATGATATATTTTTAGGGTTTACTAGGCAGACACTTTCTCCATCACTTCTTAAGTCTAGAAAATCAACACAACAATAAATTCAGCCCTGCATTTGCTCATTTCTACAGTACAAATGCTCCTGCTGGAAATTTAACAACCAGCTTTCAGGAGCCAGTAAGCGCTGGCTCCAGCAAGTCTCTGCATTTACTTTGATTTCTTGACCATCCATTGTTTCCCTGTATACTCCATTTTTTGTTTCTTCTCCCTCCTTATTTTCCACTGGGGAGTTTTGATACAATTCCACACAATGCTCCAACATGACTTCCTAGAGAATGAGAGGCCCTTTAAAGCCTGAGACGGACCACAAGAGGCTCACTGGGTTCTACAATGTTATCTCTGATGACCTTCTAGAAACAGAGATGCAAATCATTACTGACAAATGAGGCTGGATCGAACCTCAGACCTCCATTTCTGGTATGCTAACCAAGCCAAGCAGGAAGAACGTTTCAGGTATCCAACACAGAGGGTGCAGGACGGAACGTGCAGCAACTTCAACCTGGCAGGTGTCATTCCAGAGCGCATGAAGGCCCATCTACCCCCCCACCCCCATTTTACAGATGAAGAAACTGAGGCCCAAGGATGATGCTGACTTACTCAAGATCACACAGCTAATAAGCATCAGGGGCAGGATTTGAACCTAGGCCTTCTGACGCCAGAGCCAAGATTCCTTACACTATACCATATGATAATGGGCATATCAGAGAACTCCAAGGCTGGAGAACCTTTGTCTTAGTCTGGATCCACCTGGAACTACAGAAACTCAGCATTATCTGTGCACCTCACTGTTCCACTTGTTTCCAAAACAAAAATAAAGCAAAACAAAACAAACCAGAAAATGACTCCATTGCAGATAGATGGCAGTGCAAAGGGCAGAGACACAGCAGGCAGAAAGGGTAAGCACTCAAGTAGACTCACACTATACATGATACTATCATATGCAAATGACTCGACAGCACAGGAAATAGGCTGGATTTTATGGCAGGGCCCATAGAGAACCCCAGAGCCAGGAAGTCTTCACTAGCCGCACCAAGCAAGCCATTGGCTTTTGATCTAACTACCTCTGGAATGGTTTACATTTTCATTGCCATAGAAATGACTCCCCGGCCACCTTGCTAGTTTCCCCCCAGCCAAGCCACTTCTGCCAATGGTCTCCAGGTGTGAATACCAAAGGTTAGAGGCAATTGCATTTTTCCACCAAGAAATTCCAGTTTTAGAATTTGCTTTTCCAGTTGGTTTCATCAAGGTTAGAGATGCTGGGCTTCAGGCCACCGAAAGCCCAATTTCCTGGGGCTTAGGAGCACATTAGCTAATAACAGAATCATTAAGAGAATTAGCATTATTCAGGGAAAATAAGTAACCTGGCTTAAGAGCTCAGAATTCCCAGATTTCTTTCTGAAATGCCCCCAAGCACGCCAAAGAGTGCTGGAATAATAATAAAGTCTTCCCACTCCTGCCTGTAAATAAAAATGCCTGCCTAAATAATAATGGTTCTTTAGCTGTCAGCAATAAATACTAAAAATGATGGGCCATGAATAGAGGCTCAGAGTTTTTATTCACCAAAGTCCAAAGAAGTTAAGGGCCAGAGGACATTATTGTTTGCTCATTTGAGATATCTCAATCAATAAGTACTGAGGTGCCTACTGTGTGCCAGGCATTGTACTAGGAATTAAGGATACAGTTCTGAAAATGAGACAGTCTCTGCTCTCAAGGGGCCTGCTTTCTACTAGGGGTAAACACATCCACAGATAACTGAATGCAGGATGTTTGCAGTGATGACAATCACTAATAAATGGGGGAATTAGCAAAGTTTTTTTTTTCCTAAGGAGGAGGGAGTTAGGGGTTCCAGAAGTCAGAGAGAAGGAGAAAATACATTCCAGGGATGGCGGACAGCCTAAGGCATGGAGGCAGGAAACAAAATGTCACGTACGGGAAACAACAAGGAAACCAGTTTGGCTAAAGTAGAGGATTAGAAAGGTCCAGAAAGGTGTCATCAGACTGAGGGAAACAGATTACCAAGGTCTCTGAGTGACAAATAGAGAAACTTATATTTTCTTCCTCAAAATTATGAGGAGCTGCTAAAGCAAGGGAGTAACATCAGAATTGTGCTTTAGGAGTTTGGTAGCTGTGTGGAGAATGCATTGGAGAGAAGAGATAGTGGTTGCATGGAGACCAGTCAAGAAGCCATGGCAACCATCCAGCAAAAGATGTTGAGGGCTGAACTAGTGTTGTGTGAATATAGAGAGATGGATGGCTACTGGAGACCTTAAGACAATTGCTTAGCTGTTGGGGATAATGAAAAGGAGGGGTTGAGGAAGGGATGATGACCTTGAGTCTGTGGGTAAATGGAAGAAGGGAAGTGCCCTACAGAAACCGGAAAGTTAGGAGAAGGGATGGGCTCAAGAAATATCCTAGGGACCTCCAGGCGGGGTCATCAAGCCAGAAGTCAGAGAAGTTGGATTGGAACTCAGGGCAAAGATAAGGGATAGAAAGCTAAAGAGATTAGTGAGTCATCTGCACAGAGATAATAGTTAAGGCAAAAGCACTGAGAGTACAAAAAGAAGTTCTAGAGGGTCCTAGATAGAGCCCCGGAGTACACTCCCACTTGGGTAGATAGGAAGAGAAGTGAGAGAGGGCAGTATCAAAAAGAAAACAAAACAAAAGGAAAGGAAAGAAAGAGAAAGAAAGAAAAGAAAGAAACAATATTTACAAGGAAGGGATCGTATCAAAGGCTGCAAAGATCAAGAAAGACTGATGACGTTGGAGGCAGTGCTTTTGTCAGAGAAAGGAGATCAAATTTCAAGGGGCTGAGGAGGGAGGGGGAGGTAAAAAATTCTCTCTCCATCACTCTCTCTCTCTCTCCCCATTTCTCTCTCCTTCCCTCTTTTTCTCTGTCTCTCTGTTTCTCTCTCACACACCTTACTATCTATCCCTATTTTATGTCCCATAAACATACCACAGAATCTTACGTTTTTAGAGCTTGATGGGACTGTAGATATTCTTCAGGAAACACAAAATGGTGTGCTGGAAACAATGATGACCTTGGAATTAGGAAAACCTGAGTTCAAACTCTGGCTCTCACGCTTGTTAGCTGTGTGACCCTGCCACATTTGCTTGACACTAGGTAAAGACATCATTACATTACCTGAAGCAGTGGTGGGGTAGTGTGTTGATCAGGGATGTTGAACTACTTTTGTTTTCCCCCCTCACCTTACTACTCACACATCAATTAGATGAGTTTCTGGGTTGCTCTTTCCTTGTTCTCCAAAAGAAATATTTGTAGCAATCTCATCTCTAGGTCTCCTCTCTAGAATATATAGGGAACTGATTCAAATTTATGAGAACAAAAGAGCCATCTCCCATTTGATAAATGGTCGAAGGATATGACTAATCAATTTTCAGAGGAAGCAGTCCAAGTATAAATGGTCATATGAAAAAAAAACACTCTAAATCACAAATAATTAGAGAAAT